ATGTCTTGGATCAATTTTCCGATTTTCGAACAACCAAGGGTCTAAGCACAGCGTCAATGAAAAAGATATATAAAGAAAGTCTAATTCAAAGAAAAAAGTCAAAAACCTTCTACCTGTTAGGAATTATCACTACCTCCCCCGTACTGCGACAAATCTGCCTGATCACATTCAGAAGCTGTTCATCCGCACTTTGAACGGAGCCACTCAACAGATTTTTGACGTGTCGGATAAACTCATTTACAACCGACTCTCCAAGTTCAATTACATCTACACTTGTTTTGTACACCAAACTGGCGGGGCATTTCTTCACTTCGTTGATGGCAGACGTAATAATGCTTCTCCACAGCTTTTTATTCTCTTTAATAAGAGGATGAAGTCTTGCAGCATATTGAAAAACCCAAAATACATACTTGTTCTCAACGTTGGCTGAAGAAGTAGAAGCACTGTATAATCGATTCAAGAGATTTTGATACCAACGTTTACAAATCTGAGGGTATTCCTCATGGACATCCTCAAAGTCTCCGCATTCCTCCAAAAATCTCTCCAATTGTGGAATAAAATACGCCAACATATCAATGTCCGCGAATTGAGAAAGAGAATCCAATGAAGAGAGATAATCTTCGAAAGTCCAAAATAATTCCGAATTCTCCAAAAACTTGCACATTACATTAAAGTGCCTTGTTGGCCAAGAACGTACGGCACGCCCGTTACGCAAATGCGAAAGTACCCTGTCACGGAACGCGTCGACCACCAATCTCGCGAGACCCTCAGGAAGTTCAGATAAAAGTTCGTCCAAACGAACAATGTCATAATTTACTGCTATGTTCGATCGAACTCGTTCAGTGAGAGCATGCTGAAGTTGTTCATCCATCTCATCGCTATGACAAATAAATTCGTTCCAAACCAAGACGAGAGATTTCATGTTTTGACATAATTTGACTAACCACTGTCATGAAAAAAATATGGATTAAAACAAGAGCAGAAAGAATAACTATTCGTAATTACAGAGATAAATAAATACCCTCATGACCCTAATGTACGTGTATTCGTCAACATTTTCAAGATGAGGAAGTGCTCTTTCTTTGAACGCATTGAGAAATGAATAAAGGTTTTTTTCACTGCTGAACCTTAATTCAAGAGAATCGATGAATCTGCACTCGGGATCCATTAGCATTGATCCACCGAAAATATATCAAGCCACTCAAATGACCCACTATGCGCACTAAGACGCACCAGAAGATCAATCGCCATTATGATGATGCGACTTATGTCTGAAGGGTAAGTGTCTTCGCGAATATGCTTGACCACATCGAGTAATTTCAGGGCCATTGACTCCGAAATGTCATTTCGCTCATAAAAAAAGTGAGAGCGGTAGCCTAAGAGAACAAGTAAAAAAAGTTTCTGTTCCTTCAATTTTGCATCGGAAAAGCGCTCCCTTATAAATTTGTATAAGGGTATAGTCGCCAGATGGGAACGTTGATTTTCCAGGATTAATTGAAATTCAAAGATCTTCTCCTTTAAATTTCCGGCATTCAATGAATTATATATGATATCCAAGAAAGCAAAATCTTTAACTTCGAAGGCAAGCAAATCGTTATTCTCCCATACGTCGTATTGATTAATACTACCTTGGAACCAAAGAACACGCTCGTATTGAGCATCAAAACCTTCTAAAATGACATCGACGTTTTTGCGCAAGATAGCTTGTTGCGAGATGGCAATTCCATATTTGTACCTTATCTCCGGAATATTTTCAAGATCGGAAAGATAAATCTTAATTGGTTCGGAAAACCAATAAGTATCGTGAACACCGTGCGGCGTTCGACGAGTAGATTGACGAAGTTTGACAGGCGTTTCCCAGTTTCCTAACTCCTTGATGTTACCGAATACGAACGGAGATCCTAGCCTACTGCAATCTATGTGAACATGAAATATTACTTTA